TTCTTCTACCACATAAAGAGCTCCCAGATCCATAAGAAATGTTTCATAGGCCAATAGAAAAATGGACCAAAAAGTGAACACTTGTTCCAGAAACAGAAATACAAATCGTTCTTAAATGAAGATATTCCATTCCATTTATAATGAAAGACATACAAATTTCCTAATATAACAATATATGTTATATTTAACTCTCAGATAGATAAAGATCCAAAACTTTGATAATAACCTTGTTGTGAGAGTGTGAGGAATCATATAGCTTCAGGTAATGCTGGTAGGAGTGTCCACAGGTGTCACCTCTATATGCTAAAATATGGAAATATCTACCAATATAGGTCAGGGATAAAAGTAAACCCAACTAAAGGCAATATTTTATTTTATGCTTTCACCTAAACAATTTAACTCTTTCTACCTTATTGTATATGCTTCTTGCCTTAAAACATAGTATTAAGGATGAAGAGATCCTGTTATGCAATACCTATCTCTTTTTTTCTTTTTCTTTTTTGAGAGATGAGCAGTGCAATTTACAGACATATCAGCATTCCATATTTGGAATAAGGAAGTATTTTCAATGTCCTTGACTATCATAAGTGTTGAGAAAAATGCGTGGTTTCCCCATTTAAAAATACTGATGAAGATCACCTCTTTCTTTATGTCATAAAAGTCACGTTAAAACACTTAAGTATACTTTAGGTCTTCTGTTTTGTAAGCATCACCTGAGGAAATGCCACAAGAATGGCATTGACATATTTAACAGATTTGGAGGTAAGTCTACCTGTGAATCTTGGAGCTGTGTCTCTAGGTGTCAGTGTGCATGCATGCAAGTGTGAGTCACCTTTAGCTTTGCAGAGGCCAAATAATTGAGGTGTTGCCAAGTAGTTAGCACATTCTTATTAGAGTTCTTAAGTCACCAGGGGAAATAAACTTTTCACTGTACTATGGAAAAAATATTGACATAGTATGCATACTAACTAGATACTTAAACAGGAAAACAATACAGTGTGTGTAAATAATTACAACTTTATTTTTAGTAGGAAATGATCATGAAACAAAATTCCCACTATGAGAAGATTTGATATGTAATTTATAGCACATGCATACAATGAAATGCACTGAAAAGAAAAATAATGGAGTGTCTTTTTGTAGATTAGAATAGAATAATCTTTTTTTTAAAATATATTTTATTGATTTTTTACAGAGAGGAAGGGAGAGAGATAGAGAGTCAGAAACATCGATGAGAGAGAAACATCGATCAGGTGCCTCCTGCACATCCCCCACTGGGGAGGTGCCCGCAACCAAGGTACATGCCCTTGACCGGAATCGAACCTGGGACCTTTCAGTCCGCAGGCCGACGCTCTATCCACTGAGCCAAACCGGTTTCGGCAGAATAGAATAATCTTTTAAAGATAATAAATATAAACATAAAATGCACAGTCATGAAAAATGAAACTATGTGAGTAAAAAAAGAGGGACAAAGAATAAATGCAAATCACATCAGAGTAATGGTGGCATGAGAGAGGCCCTTGTCCTCTGCTTCTGAAATTTCAAGAAGTTAGCCAACTATAATTCAACATACAAATCCCTGCTCAACACAGATGCATGCCTAAGAGACCCGCACATTGAAACATCTAAAAGTGGGCAACCAGGAATAAATGGGGAGATGAGAAGAGAGGACCTGCAGATGCAGCCCCTGGCTGGCTGGGAGAGGGGAAAAGCTGGTGGTAGTAGGTGCTTCCTTTGGCCGGGAGGAATAGAGAGCTGCAGGGGCTGAAGGGTCCTGGTGCTACAACCCAGCAGTGTGAGCTGTGAGGGAGTGTCTGAGTCAGCAGATGCCTGACAGAACACGTGGTTCTGCCATGCAGCTCCCCACTGTCCAGCTGGTGGTGGTGTTTCAAAGAAACAAAACCACGGAGCCCTACCTCTACTTGAATTCCCAAAACTCACCTCCCTTTGCCTTTAAGTTGGGTTCAGGAACATACTATCCGTAAACCAAGAGCTATTGCAGGAAATCCGCTGTTTCCCTCTGTGACATCCTCAGGAGGGGTGCTTGGGATGGAACCTCATAGAGGTCAGGGGTTAACATTATGGTAAGGGCAAAAAAAAAAAACCCCATCCCCAAGCAGCATAGCTTTACTGTCTTACAGAAGCAGCAGTGGTTCAAGACTGGGAGATCACATAGGTGAAACAATCTTGTAACTCAGCACTACCTACTAGAAAATATTAGAAAGACCTCTTCAGAGATAAATGCTTAAGCAAAGGAGGAAAGCAAATACCATGAACAAGGAAAGTAATCAGGATGACCAGAAAGAAAAAGTAAAATACCCAGAAAGCAAACTGGAACACATGGAAATATCCTATATAATAAAAGCCCAGTGACCGAAACGGCAGAATGACCAAAACAACCAGAGACCAGAACAACTGCAGCCTGCAAACTGCCAGCAGCCCCTTTCCCTGCCCAGCTCCACTCCCTAGCAGGGACCCCCACCCTGACTGTGGGCATTGCCAGCCTGAAAATTGACAGCAGCCCCTTGCCCTGGCTGGCCCCACCCCCCAGTGGGGACCCCCACCCTGATGGGGGGCATGGCCAGCCTGAAAGCCACTTGAGTCCCCTTGCCCCAGCCAGCCCCCCCCCAGTGGGACCCCCACTCTGATTGGGAGTGTGGCCAGCCTGCAAATTGCCGGTGGCCCTCGCCCTGGCCAGCAAGCTCTGATCCCCCGATGGCAAATGGTGAACCGGGGCTGGGTGGTGGCAGGGGGCGTCCAGCTGCTGGCA